GGACGAAGGTACCTGGGGTGGGAGGGGGGGGGCATGGGGACCCCCTGCCTGGCCCCACTGACCCCCACCATCCGCCAGAGACGATCACGGCGCTGTTCAAGACCCGCTTCCGCCTTGACTTCCCCTTCGACCTGCAGGAGCTGCCCGCCTTTGCTGTCATCGGGTGAGTGCAGCCATCCCGGCACCTGTCCTCATCCCATGGTGGTGGCAGTAGGGGCAGCGGGGCCGGGGGGGGCAAACATCTCTACCCAGGATCGCCAGCGGTTTCGGGGGTGCGCTCTTTGTCTACCTCAACCGCAAGATCGTGCAGTTCATGCGCCGCCAGAAGACCATCAACCGCTTCCTCATGAAGAAGTAGGTGTTGGGCGATCCCTGGCAATGGGGTGGGGGAGCCGGGGCTGCACCAACATCACCCCCCTGCCCTCTGTCACCCCCACCAGGCGCCTGCTCTTCCCTGCCCTGGTGACACTGCTCCTCTCCACGCTGACCTTCCCGCCCGGCTTCGGACAGTTCATGGCTGGCCAGGTACCCGCCGTGGGGTGACACACCGGTCCCCACCCTGGTGCCGCTGCCAACCCAGGCTGACCCCTGCCCATCACCAGCTCACCCAGAAAGACACTTTGGTGACCCTCTTTGACAACCAGACGTGGGCCAAGCAGGGGCTCAGTGATGAGTTTGAGTACTTGGGCATCCTGGAGGCCTGGCGTCACCCCCGCTCCAATGTCTTCGTCACCCTTGTTGTCTTCATCCTCATGAAGGTGGGTGCCTCCTGCCCTTGCCAGCCCCGGGGTGCCACTGGGGAGGTGCCGGATGGTTGCCAGCAAGGTAGCACTGGGTGGGTGCTCCCAGAAGCCACCAAGCTGTTGGCTGGGGGCCACCGAATCTGCCATCAAAGAGATCTCAGCTGGGGGCCACCAGGGTGCCAGCAGAAGGTGCTGGCAGGGTGCCCCTAGGGAAGTTTTGGCCAGGTGCCCCCAGGTGCCACCCAGGGAGGTGCTGGTGGGGTGTGCTGTGGGGAGGAAACAAGACTGCCCCATGGCGTGGTGCTGCTGTGGGACACAGTGGAGGCAGCAGAAAGGTCTGGGCTGGGTGGGCTATTAATGGGCGCCTGCGTCCCCCACACAGTTCTGGATGTCAGCCCTGGCCACCACCATCCCGGTGCCCTGCGGAGCTTTCATGCCCGTCTTCGTCATTGGTGAGAGCCTGTACCCCATGTGGGCATGGCGGGAGGGGGGAGCTGCCTTCAGTCTATGCTGGGGCACCCCTGGATGTCCCCTTCCCTGGCAAAGGGTGCGAGGCCAGGAGAGTCCCTGCCCTCACTCGCAGCCCCTCTCTGTGGACAGGGGCAGCTTTTGGACGCCTGGTGGGGG